AGATTACTCAGTCTCAACGCCACTGCCGAATCTTCTTTTGACGCAACCTCGCAAGATCAGTGCTTCGCTGCGGCTCAGGCGTCCTCACCTGTGTGCAGACAGCTTGGCATAGTGGAAACGGCCCATGGATTGCTCGTGCATTTGCCTAGTGACAAAGTCCGTCGTCTGTGGGCAGATGAGTATACTACATGAGAAAAGGACATCGTAACACAACCAGTTCGTCACAGCGGGCTAGTATCAAGGCCTGATGAGCGGAGAAGAACTTGATAGCAATGCTCGATGGCTGTCTCGTCGTTGTGGTGCATGCGAAGGGTGGCGTTGCTGCCGCGAACTTTCTTACCGTTGCGCACCGCGAACCAAGCCTCGGTAACACATGCAGAGACATGCTTGCGAATTCCACGGATGATATAGACGAAGAGATGCAAGGGCAATAGTGGGCCATAGGCGAAAAACAAGTCTCTGCCTGCAGCTAAGGCGCACTGTTGCCGGCGTTGTAATAGATGTTGGAATCAGCGGGCAGTCGGCGACCAGCCAGCACACGGAACACGGTCGCAAAATTCGTGCCGTGCACGGTGCGGCCTCTGCCAGGATGTGATGGTGCGGCGGCCTCTTCGGCCATGCCGCTCGGTGCGCGAGCTGCAGGAGGGCTGTCCACGGCTGCTACTGCAGTGGCCTCTGCCTCTGTTTGCCTGCACGTTTGGGCAGCGGCATCGGATAGAGCATCAGTCGCCTGGCCTGGCGATATGTTGGCCGGGGGTTGCGGGGCAAAGGCCGTGGCCTGACGCTTGGCTTCCCTTCGTTGCAGCTCGCACTCCTGCTCCCTTTCGCTGGTCCAGTGCAACGCTGCGGACGACCAGCCCCGGTTGCTGCTGACCGGCTTGGGTGGCCGGCCGCCCTTGGAGCCGACAACACGCAAGTCGATGTTGCCTGTGCCGAGCATGTAGTCACCGGCCGGAAACGGCAAAATACTTGCAGGCGCACAAGTACAAATCTTTTTGACCTGCCATCCAGTATCTGTCCGCAATGGGTCCCGTAAGCACCACGACAAAACGTTCTCTGTGCTCCAGCCACGTGGCAAAGTCTAGTGCGCCTGTCTGCCAGACCTTCGCTTTAGTCCACAGGCTTTGCAGCTTCGTACAGTCCAGCTCCACTGCCATTTGCACGATGAGTCTCGCTTTTGCCTTGCTGATCGTGATGTTTTTCTCCGGTATTTTTTCCCAGCTGCCCGCTTCATCGTCCGAAGCACTCGCGGCGTCTTTCTTGCTGTGGGCTTGTCGCCACTCCAGCAATGTTCGCGGGAGGACGAATGCAACACTGTCACCGCGAGGGACCTTGTGGATCAAATCCTTCTTGTCGTGAAGCTCTACGGCAGTGCTGCGACCGACCGAGGACAGTGAGATGGCTGAGGAAAGCTCACCACAGGGTGAGGAATCCATGCCACACATTTCTCCCGAAAAGGATGATGAAAGTGAACTTCACGATCAAGGCATCTGGGGGAAATGCAAGACTGTTCCGGACCCTGAGTACTACCAGGCCGCGAAGGATGCAGAGGACCAGAACGAGAACGCGTTCGAGGAGATGGGCAAGGCCAAGGAGAAGATTGAGCTCAAGGACACCGAAGAGTTCAAACTTTTCCTCTCGGAGCTCACTGAGATCGAACGACAAAGCCCTATGAGGCTGCTTACCAAGCAGCTAAATGGATACGGCTATTCAGGCTTGTATCATACAGGACTGCGTGATTCTGACTACGAGCCCGTTCTCGCTTTCAAGGTGCAGCATATGAGTTGGAGGGTAAATGTTCCGCCTCACAAGGGACAGAAATACACCCTCTCCATGGGGGACCTCTTCGACCAACTCAACAAGATGTCTCCCATCTATGAGCGCCGTCCCGACAAGCAGAATGTGGTCTTTCGTTCTGGGGACGTCCGCAGCACCTTGGATGACAAGCTCATGGGTAAAGCCTCTGACATCCGAGAATCAGCTCTCGAGGTTATGGAAGCACTTCTGGATAAGCTGAAGTCCCTCGATGCAAGCGGCAATCCGGCAACTCGAGAAGAGCTTTTGAACGCTATGCTTCATTACTTCTTGAGCGTCGGAGTTGATGAAGAGGAGATCGGAGACCTCTCTCTTGAGAAGACACCGAATCCTTATATTCATCGCTTTGGTCTGGCAGAGGACTCCAAGGTTCCCATCTTTACCAGCAAGACCAAGTACGCCGCGCTCATCGTCAATCTCGGCAACATGAGCAGGGGAAGGAAGCGTTCTGCTCCTACCTCCGTTGCTGATCACATTGACTGGGACGATGCTACACCGTCTCGTGGAGCACTGATAAAATCAATTGCCCAGTCGAAGACGCATTTGTTCATGCTATGCGAAGCAGCTAAAATCGATGACTCCGAGGAGGCCTTCCTCGCGTCGCGCGGTTGGCAGTTCCTGCGCAACGAGTCAAAAGATCTGATGGTGGGAAGTCGTACCAATGGTGTTGGATCTTCGCTCACCCGCCTGGCTGGCTCCACTCTCAGTGGATTCGCACACGAGTCTCTCCCTCTGACCTACATGGTCGTCGAGATCGTGTACGGCATGACAGTTCCGACTGGCATTCAGGGCAATCGAAATGATTTTCCAGAAGAGGCACTGACTAAGGTCCTGGAGCGCGCCGGCTCCGACCGCATCAGAGTCTGTGTCTTCCATCTCCGGAACGACGTGGCGGCAGACAAGGTGGCGTTGGCTCACGAGGTGTTGGGCAATACGTTCATCGACTGCTTGCACTACCAGGTCGACCTCATTGGAGGCGACGCCAACATGGCCCTGTACCGGGCCACTGGCAGGAAGCAGGAATCGATGGACATCCGCGGCGGGATGTACCAGAGTCTCATGGACTACTTCCTGGAGGCCTGGTCAGAAAGCCCGAAAAGCCTACACCTCTGCTCGCCTCGCGCGAGGCATGTGTCAGCAAACGCCATGTGGCTTCTGAAACAGTATGAGGACACGCTGGGAATGCCATACAGAGAAGCTAAACAACCAGACTGGAATACTTTTCCTACTTTGGATCCTGTTATGGCTACAGTCATGGAATGGGGACACAGCATATCGGACGAACAGTGGGCGGAGTTTCCACCTTCGAAGACCGAGTTCGACATCCATGTCTCCGAGTGGCTGTTAAATTCCACAAGCGCCGCGTACCTTCTCAACGATCGGGACTATGACGCTCACACTCCGCTCCTCATCGAGGTTCACGCGAACCAGTACTCTCTGGACGGTTGCAAACAACACCCACCGGACCACCCCACCCGGCACTTTAGCCCAGGTGCCCGGGTGTCATATGCCACAGCCCTGGCACGTTGGCCTCAAGGCGGTCCAGGTGCCTCGATGCACTCGAAGCCGCACACCCGGCCAGCGGTGTGGACGGACCGATGGGCTGTCAAATCCGTGTGGGTACGGCAAGGTCGCCATGCAAATCAAGATGTCGCAACCCAAGAACGGCCTCCCTTCTTTGTCCGGTATTGCTTCCGGTGACTTGCATGACTGCTTCGATGTCACCAGGTCAGGCCCCAGCCGGCGCATTAGCCCATGTGCCCGGCTGTCATCTACCCCCTGCCCCTGGGATAGGTTGGCCTCAAGGCTGTGACACAGGCAAACCGAACGCCTCACACATGGCCAATGGTGTGGGGAGCAACCCTGGTGGGGCAGGGGTTTACTCCTTAGGTAAGGCAACACCGAAGAGGTTCGACTGGCACTCTGCCTCGGCACTCTGCCTCTGTCGTCGATCCAAGAGAACAGAAAGCATGTGCTCAGCAGAAAGAGATATAGCCTAATCATGGGTTAGCGGCCTCCCCCATTTGCTGAAATCCACCCCACTCGGCCAAGGTGGGTCGCCATGCTCACAGGGAAATTAAGATGCCAGCGCTGTGCCGGATCCCGTCGCAGCTGTTTCTTGCAGGCCTTTGCACACCTGCGACGTAACAGATCGCGACATATTGGTTTGCTTCGGCTTAAACATCGCCCGCAACGCGCACCGTTAGAAACAAACCAGGCACAGGCTAACATCACCACTGTGAGTAGCAGGCTCAAGGCACAGCTGGCGGCTGGGGTAGTGGTAACTTACAGCAGGATGCTATGCTGCCACTACAGTTTTGTACCCTGGAGGCGTAGTTAAACATTCCAAAAGCCCGAAGGGCTAAAAGTTCAGAGGTTCAAGAGTTTGGGGTTCAGGATGTTGGGGATGGAAAGCAAGAACGCGCAACGACATGTTTTGGATCGCACAGCCCATACCAGTCATGCATATGAAACTTTTGGGAGACGATGCCGAAAGCATCAATCCCCATGTATGTATGGGCTGTTTTGAACAGTCCTGAAAACGAGAACTAAAAGGGCGGGTAGGGTGGGTAACTAAAATTTCTAAGAGCCCCTCCCGATTGGTCCGCAATGTATCGGATGCATAGATCAGATTCCGCAAAAGCTCTCCAGAGATTGTTCGAAAAGTCAAAGGCAAAACTGAAAAGGTTTCGTGGCCAAAGAAAAAGGCCAACTGAAAATGCACTAAAACTGACATGCCTAAAAGAAACTGAAAAACATGCAAGCACTGACATGTCTGACATGACTGAACATAAGTGCAACTGACAGAACTGAAGACTGCATGACAACATGGCTGTGGTCCGAAGCCGCAGTGGCCGGGCGTACAACTGAAAGAGCCGCCGCGCCCCTGCCATCCCCCCCACCTCCCCAAGCCTCCAGGGAACAATTCGTTTGGTTCGTTTCACTGCCCAAACAGGGCTTGTACCCTGGAGGCGTAGTTAAACATTCCAAAAGCCCGAAGGCCCGAAGGGCTAAAAGTTCAGAGGTTCAAGAGTTTGGGGTTCAGGATGTTGGGGATGGAAAGCAAGAACGCGCAACGACATGTTTTGGATCGCACAGCCCATACCAGTCATGCATATGAAACTTTTGGGAGACGATGCCGAAAGCATCAATCCCCACTCAACGAAGAGGCATCGTCATGTGCCTCAGCCCCACTGACTCTTCTCGAAACGAATGCGAGAAGGAGATTGTCCTTCGCCAGAAGCAGAGGCACGCGCATCCTCCAGAGTGCTCTGAAAGTTCGCGAATCGAAGTAAAGACGGAAGCACTGAGAAGTTCAACTCACTCCAGCTGACAGTGACCCGAAGGTCCGGACAGAAATCTGAGAAATCATTCTTCGTGATCCTATCTGCCTCCTGATTCGCATCACGCGGCCTCCAGTTCAAGAGACATCTGACCCCGGCCAAGTCGCAGCGGTGAGCGTATTCCATCAGCACAAACATCACAGGGACCTTTGTCGTGAGAAGTCTGGCAGAAATGGCATCCGCCGACTTGTTGTCTGCTCCACCAGCGAAGCAGGCCCTGAAAGAGCCAGGACATGAAAACACCTCGGGAAAATCCCTCTCCAGCAGATGAAGCGCTACCAGCGAGGATAGCAGTTCAGCAGAGGTACTGGCCCAGGAGCTCCCAAGACCTTCCTTGAAGAGCCAAGGGGCTTCTTCGCAACGAAGCGTAATCTGAAACCAAAGAGCGGATTTACAGACAACACCCCTGACAAGGAACCAACCGCCTAGAACCACAGAGTCAGAGTTGCAAGCAGCGTCGGTTCTGAAGAGTTCCCCATAATCCTTATCCGCCAGCCCCGCAGGATACGTTCGTGAACCTGCGCGGAGCCGATCAAGAATGAATCGCAGGGTGCAGCGGATCAAGTTGGGCAGTGCCAATACCGCACCTTTGCTGACCACCGCTAGCCATGCGTAGCCCGGCGCGAGGAAGGGTCTGATCCATATCAAGATTTGCGACATAAAGCCTAGCCGGCCATGGAGTTCGTGAAAACGGCGAACGTCCACAAGCCAGCCGTCTCCCTCCATGCCCTCAATCGATCGGATGATCCACTGGCATCTCTTCTCCGAAATCCCAAGCTTAAAGCGGCCATAATCAATCCAGTAACCGACCCAATCAAGTTGCAGTCCCCCGCGCCACTTCTTCTCCGAGAAGGGTGTGCCCTGCATGCACAAAAGGGCAAGGGACATCCAGAGGTTGAGCCATCGATCTGAACCGCCGCTGAGCAGGTGTAGGTCGTCTGCATAAATAAGCATGAAAACAAAAGCCTGAAGCATAACTCTGAGAGACAAGCGGCCCACCAAGCCAATCAAGCGGGCGAACCAATAGGCCGCCGAAGCAATTCCGAAAGTTCCTGTGCGGTTAAGCCATACGACTGATGAATCGCTCCGCGTTCTACAAGCGAGCACCCCCCAATGCTCTGGGTGGTGCAAATATCGCCTGTGCGCCTTTTTCACGTCTCCCACAAGCCCGAACAGGACTTTCTCTTCTGCCACCATGCCCAGCTTCTGAATCGAAGAAATCTCCCTTGGTCCAGGCGATTCAAGACGGTCAAGCATAACAATCTCATTGTTGACGTGAACCCCGTGGGTCCCATCATGGACCACACGGAATTCATGGTCAGGTTTCGGAATCACTGCTTGAGCGGCAATGCGAAGCGCAGGACCAGGGAAGCGTGTTTTCGCCTCCGCCAAAGAAAGCGGGAACATGCGTCCTTCTGCCTCCTCTTTGGTGAAAGCCTCCTCCAAGTCGACTTCAGCCCCATCACGATAGTTCTGCATCAACGGCTGCCAAGTTGACTCATCGTACTTCTGATCTTTTCTGCGGATCCGGAACACTTGAGGCACTGGCCCCAATGGCGCCGTGTGCCCCACCTCGACACCGTTCACGAAGCAGAACTTCCCCTCCTCGATGATGCGATAGTCTGGGTCTCCAAGAATCCGAAGAGTCTGAGAAATCGCCCTCAAGTAGAAGGGTTGATGAGGAATCATCTCCCGAGCCCGGATGGGATCAGGCAGCATGTTGAACCAGTCCTCCCTCAGTTCTTCCAAGCGACCCTGGTCAAAGAGCGGCCCGTTCCAGTGTCCCGTCGCCAGACGAAAAGTCGACTTCGCCAAGTCCGGAACACACTCCACGACGAACATCCTGACCCTCTCTTTCAAGCGCTGCGCAAAGTCTAAGGCTTCAGCGGACATCGCCGTGCCCCGGTTGCATGGCTTCCACCGACCAGGAGAGCAGCGACCAAACCCATCGACGAACTCATCCGAGGACCCAGCGAAATCCCCCACCATCGGTGGCCCTTCGCAACCAGACTTCAGTTCACTGAATGGAATGTCGTCCTGTTCCGGTAACGTCGCAACCTCCTCCGTGTCGATCAAGAAATCAGCCGATCCCCTCTTACGTTTGCCCGGAAGCTCGAAGTGCATAGATCCAAGTTTATCCCTGTCGGCAGGAGAAAGTCGGTCGTCATTCGCAATGGTATAGCCAGCCAAGACCAGCCTGCAGCCCCTCCAATCTTCAGTGCAATGCCAGACATGGGGATCGAAGGCAATCTTGCCCCCGTCCCATTCCAGTATGCGTCCAGGGGTCCAGGAGCCGTTAATAAAACGAGAAACCGGGCCTCCCTCAGACTGAACCCAGAGGCCCCCTCCCGAAAACTCCGAACAGGCCAGCAACAAATTGTTGAATGGACCATTCGTGGTGTCCTTATGGGGGGGCTGCTTAAGGTCACGAAAGAATGCTAATGAAGTGAAGACGCAATCAGGGAAACCGCAAGACACGAGGCGTGCCAGCAGCTCCGATGCCAGAGGGAAAACATCAATGTTGCGCCTGAGCCCCACCTTGTCCTGGTGGGTGTAAGCGCCCGTCGTGAAAGATCGCTGGCCACTGACTTCTCTGCTGGACTGCCTGACTCTATCCTCATCCGGCAGGAGCTCTGAGAGGCGGAGAAGTTGATACCGAGCGATCCTACCCTTTCCCAAGCAGACCGCAGCCATTTGTTCCGCTTGTGAAGAACTCACTTTAACCTCAACCTCCCTAGCCGGGAACTGAAAGCAGTGAGCAGATTCGGGAACCGTAGCCACCGAGGGTGCACCTCCTCCCCCATCGAAGACGGAGAAGGTCCAGGAAGCGATAGCCTTGCATAAATCAGGCGGATAGGCGGCAGCAGCAGCAGTGTTGGCGGCACCCAAAAGGCGATTGGAATGCCGGTGGCCACAGTACTTGGGCAGAGGCCCCAGATACTTGTCCAGCAGAATCAAAACGAGGAGGCCCCATGAATCGCATGCCAGAGGTGGCTGCGATAGAAGAAAGAAACCTGGTGGGTTTCGGCGTGTGGGCTCCGTAGTGACACTGATAGATCGCAAAAGTCACGACCTGCTCGTGCGTAAAAAGTGCAGCAGCTTCTGGAAGTTGCCAAATAGATGCCGGTGTGTGACCGGTGGTTGTCATACCCAGGTCTTCAGGGTGCTCCAACAGAAAAGGAATAGAATTCGAAAGGGCAGCCGTGCAGATCTGAAAAGAAAAGGAAACGAACTGATTGCCATTATCCGCTGCAGCACGATGTGAGTCTGAAAGCCAAGGAAAACCCGCAGGGTAAATACGTGATCTCAGTGGCCGAGGACCCGGCTGTACGCATCGTGCCCGAGAAAAAGGTATTGCAGGGCGGAGTCACCAAGACCACGTCCCACTCCGAATTTTGGACTTGAAGCAAGCACCGATCAGCCACTGCAGAGTCCAGCAAATCCATACTTGGGTCACGGCAGATGTCGACTTCGGACATCTCCAAAATGATGTTCTGTGACGTGCATAGGACCTCCAGCCAGGCGCGAACATCCGCCTTTCGAGTAGGACCAGAAAACAAGTAGAGGACCCGCAGCGAAGGGCGCACACCCGAAGTGGAATCCGAAACTGAATTAAACTCATCACGACGAAGTCAGGAGCCGCCCTGCGCGCCATGCTGGTATGCCGGGTGGTTCGCCTGGCAACCCTTGACTCTGCACGCGTGAACTCGCTGACATCCCTTGACCTGACACCCACGCTTGATGTTGTAAGCGTAACACAACTCACGTCCGTCCGGTGTTTTCGAGACCAGATCGAACCATGACTCGCCGATTTTGATCTTGCCATCGGCCTTGCCCTTTCCATCCTTGCCACCTTTGTCTTTACCGCCCTTTTCTCCCTTCTTGCCGTCACCCTTGCGGGGCCACTTTGGTGGCGGAGGGTCGGCGCCGGTCGAGCGTCGAGACAATGCCACCTGAGACGTAAAATGCAGCTCCTTGAGCTCGGTGTTGGTGGTAGCCTCATGCAGCTTGTCACCCAGCGGGGCACTCAAACGATGTGCCTCCTTGATGGCCCATTTACGAAGCTCGAACTCATACTGAAGCAAGATATTCCAGGGCACAGACAAAGTGTGACGATCAGCATGTGCAGAAGAACTCATGGGAGCCGCCGATGCGACTTGCATGCTGTAGCACTTGTCTCCCAGAAGATATTCCAAGAAACGATCAAAATGTGACAACTGCAATCCCTGCAAATAGGCACGACCGCGACACTTCGCGGCCAACATCACCCATGTTGATGCCTCGAGCCGAATCTTCGCTCGGAGTTCCTCAGTGTTCTGTGGGAGCTTCCCCTTGGGCTTCTGGCGCATAACACGAAGGCGGCCCTGATTGTCCAGTGAAGTCTGAAGCTGCAAAGAGTTGGACTCCTTACGTGAAATAACCTCATCAAGATAACTAGCGGTGGGCTCGCCATTCTCAATCTGCTCAAGCTTGTGTGCGAGGTACTCAGGTGCAGGCTCCTCAGATTCTGGAACAGAGTAGCCCCTTACCGCCTCCAAAGCAGCTCGCATAGCCGCTCGATCGGAAGAGACGAGGGGCTTCTGGACCCCCAACACCTTAGCCTCAGCCCGAAGCTTAGCTTCCTCCTCGCGAATCAATTTGGAAGCTTCCCAAGAAGTGATGACACACGCCATCCTAGCACGATCTGCAGCACTCTCAGCTCGAACGCCGAAGTCCGCGGTGATGGCCGTCCGAGCCGCCCCCCTATCATCGGCAAATGCAGCAAATGTCCTGATACTCTTGTAATGCTGACCAATGGCGTACTGCAACGCTAAGTCAACACCATGCTCTTCCAGAAGGAAGATAAAGTCGGCATCGACGTTATCTTTCAAGAACTGACGCTGTGCCGCAGGATCGGCCGCCATTGTCGCTCCGAGGCGAGCGAAGCTAAAGACTGACAGTACTGAAAGAATGAAAACTGACAGCCCCAAAGGAGCACTGAAAGTCTGAGAGTGGCTCGTATAGTAACGTCGTCTGAGATTCACAACGTGAAGTACTGAGCAAAAAACTGCCCATTTCAAGCATCTGATTTGCTCCCGCAACTGCAACTGACAGCACTGACAGCACGCGGCAAAAAGGCACCGAAAGCACTGAAGCAAACTGACACCCCTTTGCACTGGCACGCGAATCTGACAGTCTGATCTCAGGTGTGAAAACTCAAATCCGGGGCCCCACTATCCTCAGCCGACTTTCTCCTTATAACAGAGCTTACAGAAGCTATCAGCAACATTCGGTCCGGCTTCCCAAACCTCGGCGAAGCGGTGGCAACTGCTCGGAGTGACCCAGCAGCCATTCCTAATGTGCAGCCGACGATGGCCAGAATGCCTGCTGATGCTAACCCAGAAAGGAGATTCCTTATCAGTCTGAGATGAGTTCGAAACCGGCGGGGCCGGGGCAGCGTTGTCCGTCCCGTCGGTGAAATCGGCCAATAAAGGCCAAGTCTGATTCAATACCTTGCAGCCAGAAACGGTGCGCATCACAGCATGAAGCTTCAACCACGGATCAGGATCAGAACCCCGATCGCGGAGCCACTCGCGCAGCTCCTCAAACAGCTCCTCCTCGTCGTACCCGGTTTGCCACCCGACAACTTGTCGCATACACGGCGCTGAATGTCATGCACAATCTGACGGCAGGTATGGATGTAATCAGAACTCTGATGCAGACCAATGTGCCAGCGACCTAAGTAATCGCGCCGCTCCAACGGAACCTCCAGAACAGCAGCAATGGTTGGAAGAACATGACGCATGCTATGGCCCGTCCAGAACAAATAACACTCGCCACCAAGGAGGGCCCTCTCAGCTCTCGATTTCCACACGTGTTCACCAATCTGGCGAAAAGGAACTTTCAGCTGTCGCCAGATCAAACGCATGTAATTGCTGATGACCTCCGGTTTCGCAAATTTGAAAATCGGCTCCTCAAAATCTTCGGATGACTGGAACACCAAGAAAGTCCTGTCCAGCTGCCCAAGGCCCTTCCACAAGTCGAAACCCGAGAGCAGCCAATCACGACCAGACAACCCCACATCCCGACCCACAAAGAAGGGAACCTCAGCCACCTTCTTGTCGGGACCGGTTGTCTTGGTTTTGACTAAGAAGCCCTTAAGCCCATCACGAAAAAGCCTAAGTCTAGAAACGTCGATTCCTTGCAGATCGGACACACGCATGCAAGCACAGACACACACCATAAAGGCCCCACATAAGGCATCTACATATAATGGAATTGCCCGCTGATACACAAGATCTCCAAGGAAAAGGCATCATTGCCACCGACAAAGGGGGCCGCCTGCTTTCTTTGCTCGTGACCCCACATGACACTTCTGCCTCTGATCTCTTCGAGGCAGCCACCACCAATCTGTCCTTTCAACAACGGCTGGCCAAAGGAAACCTCCTGCCCTGCATCCTCCCAGAAACAGATAGAGCGCTCATAACTCCGAAATTACAGCAAAAATTCTAAGATCCCCTCCCGATTGGTCCGCAATGTATCGGATGCATAGATCGGATTCCGCAAAAGCTCTCCAGAGATGGATTGAAAAGTCAAAGATAAAACTGAAAAGGTTTCATGGCCAAAGAAAACGGCCATCTGAAAATGCCCTAAAACTGACATGCCTAAAAGAGACTGAAAAACATATGCAAGCACTGACATGTCTGACATGACTGAACATAAGTGCAACTGACAGAACTGAAGACTGCATGACAACATGGCTGTGGTCCGAAGCCGCAGTGGCCGGGTGTACAACTGAAAGAGCCGCCGCGCCCCTGCCATCCCCCCCACCCCCCCAGGCCTCCAGGGAACAATTCGTTTGGTTCGTTTCACTGCCCAAACAGGGCACAGGCCATGCCAAACGATCAACGATAGACCTGATCCCAGGGCCACTTGCGCGCAAAAGTGAGCACAGGCAAGAACTGAAGAAGGCACTATCTCACCCTTCTCTTTACAACACACCTCAAGCGGCCTCCCTTTTAGGATCTCACCGGGGGGGGAAGGACACACCCGCCCCCCATTTAAGCCACCCCCAGCAGGCGCATTAGCGCATCGCCCTGCTGTCATACCCCTCGGGCTGTAGGGGAGTTGGCCCCAAGGGTGTCCGCCACGAGGCCACGCAGGCGTCAGTGGCCAAGCTTTCAGCTCCGGATGGATCGCTGCCCCCAACACGGCCAACAAGATGGAACCTGGCAGGTCTCTAGGGCCCACTCGGCCAGCCCGCTGCTCAGGTTTAGGTCGGGCAAGCGAATCGACAAGGACGTTTATGATCAAAAGCAAGCACAGCAAACCACTAAAAAAAAAAAAAAAACCCTTAGAAGTTTTACTGGCACTCTGCCTTTGGCACTCTGCCTTTCATAAATTTGATCACAACCTGACACTTAATTACTACTCACTCGATTCGGCCTTCCATGTTGCGCACTCGGTCGATCAACAGTTCAAGAGCCTCCCCTGCTGCCACCGAGTGGGTCATCATCTCGCACTGACTACTGGCTAGCCAGAGCGTGCAGAGACATAAATGGGGGGCTCCCAGCAGGCACGTTAGCCCATGTGTCCTGCTGTCATATGGATCTGGTCAGCAGATCCCCGTTGGCCTCAAGAGCCCGAAAATCCCAAACAGCGCCCCGCCACACCCGGCTAACGGTGTGAACTACAAGCTGCCCTGCACTAGCGAACCCTCAGGGAAGTGACCCCGGCTAATGGTGTGCGACTATAAGTTGCCCTGCACTACGTTCTTCCCTCAGAGCCCTGTGCGAGACACAGCGAGTCCTGGGTAGCGGTCACACACATGCCTCCACATGCCGGCAAGCGAATCGACAAGGATTTTCTGATCAACAGCAAGCGCAGCAAACCACTAAACCCTGAACCCTTAGAAGTTTTACTGGCACTCTGCCTTTCATAAATATTAAATTCACAACCTGACTTAAGCATCCCTTTCTGTAACGGCCTCCCCGGCGTCTTTGCAAAGACGAACGTGCTCTGACAGTCATGCGGACCGGAGACTTAGGCCGCCCCCATTCGGCCGAGATATGGGGTCACCCCGCTCTGCCATGGGGATATCAGGCGAAGGCTCTCAACGACCACTAGCAGCTGCAAGCATTTGCCCGCGCCATGCTTATGCCGCCCTCTGCTCGCAAAGAAGCAGCAACTCGTCGTGGTCGTCGTGGTGCCATCCCAGAGTTCGCAGCGGATACTTCTGCCCCCGACATTGTGTACCTTCTGCTGGACTTGGCCAACAGCTTGGCGCAAGAGCCGAACGTCGGGTCGGCCATGGCAAGAGCGGTAGTCGAATTTAGTTCGACTGTGGCGCGGGTACGTGGCATCAAATGAATGTGTGACAAAGAATTCACTATAATTTTAAACAGCTGGTTAACAAAACAACATTCTACTCCATATCAAATCACCAAGGAACCATGCAGGTCGCTGCGTTCGTCCTGGTTCTTGAGAATGAAGGCTTGTCGCAAAGAGGTCCCACTTTTGAAGGACATGGAAGAGAAGGCGTTCACTAGGCTTGGATTCAAAATGCTTCGGCCTCCCATGGAAGAGTTTGGGTTACCCAGGCTACGTCATGTTCGGGAGGGGCCACCTGGCACGTTAGCGCATGTGTCCAGATGTCATAGCCAGATGCCCGCTGGCCGTTGGCCCCAACCCCCCCCCTAGACTGCAGGACCCGGGCGCCCTTGCCCTCGCTCCACACCCGGCCAACAGAGCTGCCAAAATTGGCGGGCATGCAGCTGCCGCTTGGTAGAGCACCATACACCAAACCCCATTCTGAACATGTTGGCACTAGTGACAAACACAACCGAACAGCAAACCAAGCAATGCTCTCTACTCAATAACATTCAGTTTACAACTGGGAAGGCATGCGCAAGCAGCGCCGTTCCTCGGCCTTCCATCTACTCGTGTACGTTGGCCTCCCGCCCCGAATAACTGCCTTTCGCGCAGATCCAACCGTCCTAGATCTGTCGGGCGAGGCGAGCCATATAATTATCCCCCAGCAAGCACTTTAGCCTTGAATGTTTTCAAGAAGCTTCGTAGTCCCGCACATTTCCCCTGACCCCGACAATTGTTTTGACCCTGACAATTGCTTTGACAATTGTTTTGACAATTGTTTGACAATTGTTTGAAATTAGTGCAATTTATTGAACAATTGTTTTTTAATTGTTTCAAAATTGTACAATTTTTTGAACAATTGTTTTTCAATTGTTTTGAAAACTGTGTTTTTCTTTAAAAATTGTTTTGCAAGGGCTTTGTTCTTGCACATTCTTTAAACATGTGCTTTGCAAAAATCTGATACGTGATATTTGCTTCAGTTGTCTTTCAAAAAATATTGTTAAAAATATTTGCAACGATTTCAAAGAAGTTTGCTTAGCCTGTTGCTTTTCTTCAAATGCGACACCAAGCTTTAGCGGATGCGATTCCGCCATTCATCATTACAACAAAAGCTAGCACATGCACTGCACTTAACAGCCGTAGCAGCCTCCGCAAAACGCACAGCGGCGCCTTTTTTGTGCCCGAAGTCTGCTCCAGAGTCCGGTCGCCAAAACTCTGAAACCAAAAGCCTGAAGCACAGTCTCTGCTGTAAACCTGGCCTGAGGCCCGTCGCCTGTGCAGCCAAGTTAGCACCGGGCCGAAGGCCAAGGCTTCACAACGAAGTCAAAGGCAAAGGTGCTAAGGCTGCTGAGGCTAAGGCTCTACTTGCTCAACCTGGACAAGGGCCAGAGGCCTGGTTGAAGCTCACAAAGACACGAGAAAAGCCAATGCATCCATAGCTTCTTCAACATCTGCAACCTTCACCGTCTCAGTGGCTGCACGGTAATCCACTGCGCAAACAGCAGACTGCCACACCGCGAGCAAAACCGGAAACGAAAAGGAGTTGCCTGCC